GCCATGGGATGTCCTACCTTATAGGTGTTCAAAACCCATCTGGACAAGGTTCTGGACAACCAGCTCTAGGTAGCCCTACTTGAGCAGGGGAGTTGGACAAGATGAACTCCAGAGGTCCCTTTCAACCCCAGCCAATCCATGATCCTGTTACTGGTCACTATTAGTAAGGACACTGATCCACACGAGCTTCATAATTCCTATTGCCACTGCATGTGGAGAGGGAGGGTGATCATGCAAGATTTTATCATGTTCTCATCAAATACTTCAGCTAGTTTGTGATGGGTTAAGAATGCACACACTCTGCTTGTTTGTGTCAAGGCTGAGGAACTTTTTACCCAGTGGCTTGATTCAGTCCTAACTAGTTAAAAGCAGCATAGCATGGTAAGGTTGTGGGCACAGGCTCTGCCAATAAGTAACTATCCAGGCAGTAAGCCAGCCAGTAAATGCAGTAACACATGTTAATGTGGTCCCATTGGCAACTCAGTCCTCTCAATAATAACATGTGTAAGAAGTCCCAGATCAGTCCAGAGAAGACAACCTCGGAACTCCTAGGACCAAGTTCAGGGTACCCAGAAGGAGGTGGACTCATCTAAAGCCCACTGACTCTGAGGTGACACATGTTGAGACTAAGGACAACTCAACTCTCTGTACATATAACCACATACTAATTAAAGGATGTATCTGTTGCAGACTGATGTCCTCACACTTCAGGAAACTACAAGCTATTTGTTTTTTTTCTTTATTTTGTAAATTTTATCGTTGATGATAAAGACAAGAAAATTCCTAATAGAATTCCCTCAATACATTGTTGCGTTTAAATTTTAATTGGCATAAATTCTGTTTTACCTTCAACATATTTCTACTTTAAATGGCTTGTGCAGACATTTACCTTGAAGAGCTTTAAAATATCTTATGAAAACCACTGTAGTGCTTGATGGGGTCTGGGGTCACTGAGCTGGCAGCAACAGTAAGTCCAGGTTACAGGTCTGTATCATTTCAGAACCAATGAAGATACAATTTCAAAAATGAAATCTCTTTTCCCTCTCCTTGGAGTCTTCTCTGACAATTACATTTATTCAGGCACCTTTTCCCTGTTTGTTCTTGTGCCAACATTGTCATTCAGCCTATCTGTTGATACTTTTCCTCCCCTCCATCTAAAAGGCAGCCACTACCAGTCCCTCCCTTTTCTTCTTTTCGTATTCACATATGAAAGCCAAGTGACATACACAAGGTGAATCTTCCTTTCTCTAGGTTGTTCCAGAAGCGCTTTTTTGCATTATCATTCTAGTTTGAACCATTCATTTTGACACTGTATTCCAGCTTTAACAAGTCAGATGTCACTAGGGACTTCTGCAGCAATACTAGGACTTTTCTATTGCTCATCACTTTTAATGATGTTTCAAATCAGTTGGCAAGTGTTTTAGAGCAGGAATTCCTCCACTTAATCCCAGCCAGCGCCAAGTCCAACATGACAACCACAGAAAAGGAAGTACACTGCCCATGTGCCACAGACGTCAAAGTACAGAGGGGACTCTACAATAGCTAAAAAGTGATAGAGCTGCCACTGCTCTCAGTCACCTAAAATTTTCCTTAGTAATCCCCAGCTCTTTTTCCATAACATCTCATGAAGAATGAATCAAATGCTTTGTTCAATTTGGAGTAAATGATACCAACTGCATTTGCTGACTGAAGTGAGTACAGGTTTGATTCCAGGAGCTCAATGCCAGTAGGGTTCAGAGTATGACACAAAAATCCCCAGATATTATTCATTCTTCTGCCCCTAAGAATATCCCTTGCAGGTACAGAATTGAGTACACAGCAAAGATGAGAGTCTCTTACAACAACAGAACTCTAGAACTCAGATACAGATCTGAGTGTGCTGTGGCTCAAGGCATACAGAGCAAAAAAAAAAATAGATCAACCAGTTTGCCTGGAGGGTAGAGGATCATGAAGAAACCTTTGTTTCAGAAAAACAAAATGCAACTTTCCTTCTGCCAGCAATCCAACAGTAATTCCTCAGTTATCTTAAAAACCTCAAAGTGGGGAAAGAATATTTAGTTTGAGGAACTCAAACTACACACAGATCTGGTCTATATCCCCCACCAGTTGGATGTGAAAGAGTGACAGCCCCTTGTTTGGGTGAGACAAAATATCATCTGTGGTGCCAGGGCTTGGAACAGGAGCCTTGCTTGTGGGATGAGTCACTAGATGCTCTGCTCTCAGCCAGGTGACCTTGATATGAAAATCATCTCAGTCTTAAAATTATGTTTATGTCCACAACTAGTTATCTCAGGCTTAGACAACGGAGGGAAACAGGTGCTTTTTAGGGCATGATTTATCTATATTCTTTTAAACATCTACTACTATTTACTGTACTGTGCCCTGAACGCCACTGCCCACACTGACTAAATCTCTTGACTATAAAGGGAGTCCAGAGTGACTAGCTTACATATAAACAAATACAATGTAGATGTCTATACTTAGCCAAATAAATCCCACTCCCAAAGTCCACCATGGCCTTAGCTGTCCAGATTTTCAGTAATGCATTCTTCTTCAATGACATCTACTTGTTTGGAGTTGAGCCATGAGGTTTCTGTTTCCTTCAGGCCATGGAGCTTGCTATATCTGTACCTCTGGCCACACTGAAGTCAAACAGCCCTGTCTGCCTGACTCCCTCTTAAAAAGTCCTTTATGGAATTCTGAGTGCATGAGTTTTCCATAAGGTCAGTGCAAGGACTTGCAATGTGTGGCATGCAGCAAATACCACTCTGCAGACGAGAATGTATCCCAAGCCACAGGACTAACAGAAGAGAACATGCTAGTACCCAAAAGCAGAGAAAAGACAAGGCAGCATCTGGAGTGAATAAGCTGGGAGCTGAGAAGGGCTGCTAACAGTGATAAAGTGAGCTGCCAGGTGGTGAAAGCCATTTCCGCACCTTCAACCAACCTCACAAGCCCTAAGTCTCCTTGCTTTCTGAGCAACGCCACAGCTGTCATCTGTTTCAACACAGCAACTGTTCACAGAATGTCCAAGTAGGACCAAAAGGCCAAGCAAATTTTATGCACTGTCTTCAATCAAAAGTGATTGAAACATTTTCCTTAAAATTTCTCCAGAATAATTAGTCTTCACAGAAAAAAAGTCAGCAACACTAGACCATAAACCTGTGGTTGCCAAAGACTGTTTCTAGCTACAACGCAATCACTGTGACCAATATGGTAAGTGCAATCACAACTGGTAATTCGGAGCAGTCTTGCATATTCCCTACATATTATCACATGCCTCAGACAAATTTAAATTTTTACCAGGATTACAATCCCAGCTTGGGAACCACTGTTTTAAGGCAAATATTTCAAAATTACAAAAGCTTTGATAGGAGGTAGAAATGTAGAGATAACTTTTATTGCTGTTACTAATGCTCCAACTATAATAAAATGAATACACTTAACATCATAACAACCTCAAATTATCTGGGCTTAGCTCTCTTTTGACAGGTCCTGAATTTCACAGCTGCTACATGCTAAGTCTAGACATGAATTTGAAAAACATCTGATTGATCATTCTTTAGATGTTAACTAGCTGAGTAACTGATATTTAAAATGTCTGCGGAGCCCTAGATGGAAATGGAATTTTCTGTCTATAGTTTCTGTAGAGTGCTGTGCCTCCTGACTCTTCCCCATTACAGGGCCCTGGACATCTCTGGATATTCAGAGCTGGAAGCTCATGTACTGGTCAACTCCCTAGTTAAAGAGTTTGCCACAGAATAAGAATCTTCCTGCAGATTTATCAATGCAAGTCTAAGTCTTCTATTACTTTCAAACATAGCCAAGTTCCTAGGTAGTTTAAAATAATGGTGTTCCACAGACATTAAGAAGCTAAGGCAAATTATTCCAAGAGTCAGTCCAATGTATTATATGCGACAGTTTTTGACTACAAACTTGTGATTTAAAGCACCCACACTTCACTTCCTACCTATAAATAGATATGTTAATGGAATTTAACTCTTTCCATTTTTTTTTCTGTTTCATATATAAGAACTGGAAAAACATCAGAGATAGAAGTCTTCCACATCTTATCACATACCTGTACAGTGACAAACAGAATGGAATCTTGATCTTAGTTGGGCTGATACCCATTACTCTGGTACAGACAAAAATGACAGCTTTACTTCACAATAGACATGCAGCTGCAAAGCTATTCATACTACAGGACTTACTATATGAATGAGTATGAGCATTCAATACAGTCACAGAAATGTAAAGAAATTCTTCACAATGAAAGTGGCCAAACACTGGAATAGGTTGCCTGAAGAGGCTGTGAAACCTCCATCCGTAGAGATTTTCAAAATTCCACAAGGCCTTGACAACCCTGTTTTGAACAGGAGGTTGAATTAGATTACTTCCAGTTTCCACCTACCTAAACTTTTCCGTGATCCAGTTGAATAGACTCAGAAAACTTAGGAAAAGACCATTTCAGTAGGGTGTTATGTATGGTGAAGTGCTGGGCTCAATCTAATAGAAATTGCAGAAAATGCCATCCATTCTTTCATTACATAAATCGTCCTTTTACAGACTATGTGAATGTGTATATTTTTGCAGGATCTTTAATAATTTTCCTGTAAATCATTCTTCCCATTATATGTTTTATTATTCCACAAGTTTAGCTTATGACCGAGTTCTAATGGGAAATTTAATACATCTCTTTAGCACACCCCTCTAATCTCTTACTTTCTTTTTAATCATTCTAATAAAAAGTTCCAAAGCCAGTGTTTATTTATCCAGAAGCTATTATTCTCCTTATTAAAGCCTTTCAGAAGACAGAGGTGGTAATATCCACAGAATTTTCCCCACCACTTTTCTATGCATGCTGCTCCCCAGCTGCTTATTCTTAAGAGCTTTGTCTGACCTGTTAACAGGACTTTTACTGGGAAGATCATTCCACCATTTAATACAAGGATTACTTTTTTTGCCCTAACTTAATGTATAAAATGTTCATTACGTACCTTCATTGGCCTCTTCAGCGCTTCCTGAATATCCACACGCTTCCGCATAATGGTCTGGTCTAGTTTGCGTTCAAAGGCCAACAGATCCATGTAGGCTTGGGACTCAGGAACCAGCTCCCGGATCTGAGAAGGAAGCAGGGAATATCCAAGCACTAGAAGCAAGAATCTACTATGTTCTAGAGAAGTAATACCGACACTTTCCCAGACCTTAGACAGATGTGCTCACAAGGAGTTACCCCTAAAGTAGTTCCCCATTAGTGGGGCAGGTCTCAGTGGCATAATAGAAGCATATGACTGTAAAGCTGGAGCACAGAACTAAAGCTAATGAATTCTGGAAGACCCAACTGAATCCACAAGGTCTGAATCATGGATCTTTGGTTGTTTTTTTTTCAAGTGAGGTTTAGCTACAGGCAGCCTGGGAGCCACTGCTCTTAGGAAGACAAAGGACAGCAAATTTGTCCTGTTTAAACTAAAAAAAGTATTGGTTCTCTCTAGACTAAAAATAAAGGGTGCATGTTCATGTTGACTTTTTAAAAACAAGTGTTATCCACCATAAGTAAAAACTGCCCTTTAGTCAACACATCTTCTTGGCTGACATGAAATCGAACTTCACATCAAAGTTTCAACATGACCAGCTATAAGGTGTCACCTTAGGATCTTTCCAACTTTTACTGATATTTCAATACACTAGTTAAACTACATTAGTTCAATTAACAAACCCCATTTCTATTTCCCCTTTTCCAAAGAAGTTAGCAGAAGAAGTGATATGAAGTAGGTTAGGTGGAAGACCTAATGATCTGAGCTTGGAAATGGAAAAGTACACCCTTACATTAAAGGGTCTGTTCTTAACTGGGAGTAAGTCATGCAGGCAAACCATAAAAGAAAGGAACTGTAACTAATTATAATAAATCTACTGGACTGCCTTGCCTATTTCTACAATATTCATTCTAGCTTTCACTTATATAACTAAAATATTTAACCTTTACAAAACTTCTATAGGAATTAAAAGGTAGTTCATATTCCTATTCTGCTTTAGAATCAGAAGTCGACAGTTTTAATCTGATGTAAGACACAAACACCTATGCGAGACACCACGCATACACCTGTTCACCCTGTTCTGCAAGGACACAAGAACTATTGCACAAGGTCATCCCAACTGTCATCTATCCTAGCATTGTGTCTCTGACAGCATTTGAAAGTTGTTGCCCTTTAGTACCTACAAAAGCCTGAGGCATAGTGTTCTAGAACCTATGTGTGAAGCAGTACCTCCTTTTGCTCATTTTCAACCTGCCATCCGTTAGCTTCATTTGATGCCACCTTCTTGCATAGTTGGAGCAGCAGTTGGAAGGCATTCCTTAGGCACCTTCTTCATCCTGCTCATACATTTCCCTTAATACTTTTCTTCTTCATCCTGAAGAGGAACAGTTCTTCTCTCCTGTATTTAGACTGATCAATACTATCAAATAAATGCTTCTTTCAACCTCATTTGTTTGTTTGTTTGAGATACTCTATTTACAGCAGGACTGACACTTTGGAGAAGCAAAAACCATGGAGCCAAAAACTCTGTTCAGCTTTAGCTAAACCTCTGTATTTTTAACTGCTTATATCCTTTCAAAAAGTCTTAGTATCAGCAAAATAATAAAAGAACATGAACATTTTTAAGACTGAAGCATAAAGAGCAAGCATTGCCCTGGAAACATCAAGGAGTTGCCAGACAGCTTGCAGAACAAAGACAGGCAATACTCCCTACCCACACAGAATACAAATCCTTGGACCCAACAAAATACCCCAATGCTTTTATCCTGTCACACACAAAAGACAAGATTCCTCAGTTCCTTCTGCATAGAGGAAATTAATCATGCTGTACTGCAGTCAATTAAAAATTCTGAACCTAAGAAAATAGCTTCAGTTCATGAACTCCTAGGCACACGATGAAGCAGGTTGCTGGCCTACACAGCCCTCAAGATTAAGCATGTACTATAGTTGTCATAGCTTTCCAGCTAGTGTGCAGGATACTGGACCCAAGATCTAATGAAATTTCTAAGAAGCTTGTAGAAACAGCAGTAATCGTCAATAAATATTTCTATTTTACACTTTGACATCTTACCACATGAAAGTGAAAGGGTATTCAAAACTATAACAGAACTGGTATTAAAAATTATAAGATGTTAAGAAAGCATACATACAACAAAGATAATACTGCATATAATTCCTTGAACTGCAAATGGCTGCAGCTTAGAAGAGTATAGAGGAGAAGAACTGCACTTGCCTGTGTTTGTATTCTTCTGTAGGTATGTGGTATGGTCACAGTGAAGACAGGATACTGGGCTATGTATGTTAAACCTTAGGTTAGAATTATATGGATAACTGGAATAGATTATTATTAACATTAGTAAGATAATGTCTTTCAAGAGGTCAGGGGTTCTTTTTTTTTCCAATTGTGAAAATGCAAATGTTTCAAAAATCTAAAAATCAAGAAGAACATATTAAATCATGCACCTTTACCCTTGATTTCCATTGATTATTCATTGACAGTGACAAAAGAATGGAAAAATTATAAGTGGGGGCAGTGAGGACAATGTGCAGGGAATAGCAGGATGGGAGACACTCTCACCATTTCCTTGTAAAAGCAGCACAATGTAGAGGCCCCACCACATGTGCCTGCAAACAAATGTGCAAGGCTTATCAAACAGAAACAGAAACCAGGGAACAGCTGCAACACTTCATTTCTGGAATATGAAAAGTATCATGGGATAATGTCTATGAATGGCACAGTATGACAGCTTGGAAGGCTGTCACACTAGGTAAGGCTTTATCCAAATGCTGAGAGTTGCACTGGAGCAGGTGACACTGCAAGGGGCATCTCCTACAACCACCTGATCAAGAAGAAGACAAAGCCCTTCCGAGATATCTGGAAGAAGCCCCACGGTTGCAGGCCCTCATGAGAAAACTTTAACCACACTGACATCCATTTTGAGGGCAGCAGCACTGGAAATGACCCATTCACTGATGTGTCTCCAAATTGACAGTGAAGGACTTTTTAATTTAAGGTAACTGATAGTCTTACTTATGCTGTAAGATTTTTAATTAAGACCTTGTTGGTAACAGATCAAACGGCTTGAAGAAATCCAACAGTATCAACACAATTTCTGTTATCAAAGAATGCTGTGATCTCCTCAGAAGAAGGTAGGCTTGCTGAACAAGATTTATTTTTTACAAAGCTGCACATGGCATCAAAGTGCTCAGACGTCTTCACTCAGGTAGGGGTACAAGGATCTTCTCAAACAATGTAAAACTTAACAGAGAGAGCAAGAGAAGCCCAGGCAGGGAACAAAAAGATCATTCCTCATCTAGAGAGCAGGAAATCATCCAGAGGGGAAGGGAGATTCCCCAACTCTGAATTTGTATTTTGCTGTCTGCCTGTCACCAAGAAGTGGAATGGCTGTGAGTGATCCATAACTGGACTTGGCAGCTGTCAGGCAGAGAAGAGAACATAAAAAAATATTGTGTAAACAACAGAACTGTATTCTCCCCTTCTCCTCTGCACCTACAGCAGTCACCTAATGCAGCAATCCTTAGCACAGAGGCAGAATGCCCAGTCCTCACTTCCCAACTCTGAAAAAAACTGTGTTCTAATTCAAAAATTTCTTCCTTCTCTTTTTACTTTGACATCCCATTAACTCCTAGTCCTATCCCTTACTTAGCCCCATCAAAACCATCATCATCCTAATAATGCAATTGTGTTGGGGAATGGTGCATTTGTAAATTTATTTAGAATGTTATCTTCATTCTGGCTGTCTCATTATCAAATAAATATTAGCAAAGAGTTTCATGAGATAAAATATTTATCTGTTTATAGTCATGGAGTTATGGGAACAAAACCAGGAAGTTGTATTTTGAACTAAAGCAAAGAAGAAATGCGGAACCAGGACAGACAAGCTTGTTATGTGCAGATAAAAGACACAAGCAAGATTTAGACAGCTTTACTCTGATTTCCCTACAATGTCTTAAGCTGAATGTCATGAACATTTCCTAGTTATGAAATACAGTCATGGACATTTAAATCTAGACTAAACTCTCTCAAGTACACCAAAGAAACAACTCTGCTTCAGTTTCCAAGGCTATAAAGAAAGATACACATAATGTCAAAACTGATCTCGTGTGTCCATTCCAAGCTAATTACTACTGTGGCTGGAAGAGTACTAAAAAGCATCATGTGAATTCCAAATTTAGTCTTCTAAATATCAAGAGACCTAGCTGTATCTCTCCTGCAAGAAAATTACGTCCCATCCATTCCTTAAAGATGCCAGAAATAATGGAAAAAGTAAAACAGATAATTTAGACTTTCAAGTGGTCCTTAGGGATACAATTCTTCACAAGAACTTTTTGAGGAATTCCCAGTGACATACAGATAAAAAGCAAACACTGGCCATGTATTGCCCAAGAAAGCTGAAAAAAGGCACAAAAGACAAAGATTCTGTCTTCATTGTGGCCAAGTGATACACAAAACCTTACATCTTTCATCTACTTTGACTTGGCATTTTTATTAAAATGATCCAGAAGTGGACAAGAGACATAAATGCATTAAAAGCTGTACAATTTTTAGTTAATCATGACCTGAAAAGACTGGAGGACACTTCAGCAAAGACTTTTTCCAAGTTTGCTGATGGAGCTGCATGCTAGCAGCTGAGCTGCAATACTGAACAACCACAAAAGAATGCACAACGAAGCAAGTAATTTCTCTGTACCGGTGGTACTAATGAGACCATGGCTACTGATGAAAGTGACTGAAACTCATTGTGGATAAGTTAATAAAGTCACCTGCATGAGCAGCAGCAAACAGACAAAGATGCAAGGTATAAAGAAGAGGAAGGGTTCTGTGACTTCTAATTTAACCTGAACGTAACAAACAGAACCTACAAGTGACACAGGATAGGGAAATCAGAAATAAAGAAAAGGACAGGGATATGCATCCATACCATGGTGATCTGGGAGAAAGAAAACAATACAAATAACTGAATACAAACAAAATACAAAAAAAAACCAAAAAACAAAACACCAACCTGGAAGCAAAGGATGTAGGACACAGCTACAGCATGGGGACTTTCATGGCTTCCCAGGGA